GTTCTGCCGAAAACGGTTACACTGTCACTCCTCTTTCTGTCCTGGCCTATCTATCTACTCTTTACCCTCTTATCCCACTGCCGCCCTATCACAACTTCTCACTTTTTTACATTCCAATCGTCAAAATGTGTGGCCTCATCATACTTTCTATTCACCCCGACTCCTTCTCTTTCGATCGGCTAATCCGACTCGGTTTCGAAGAATTCCTTAATGAAATATCGTACATGACTCTTCATTTCGAAAGTATGTTTTTAATCTATTTCGTAAATTATGGAATCTTGCTCTGATGATGTATGTCACAGTACAGACGAAAGCTTAGCAGTTTCATCGGAGCCGCAGGATGGTGAGCCGAGGACTTCTTCGCACGATCTAGCAGTCTTCCCTACGCGACAATCCTCCTTCGGTTTCGGTGAGACCACATCACGAATTCCTTCCAACCAACTCTTCCTTCGAAATGGAGAGTCATGCCACAATATTTAATTAAGGAATTCTTCGAATCCAGGTTTTTCTTCATAACTAAGAAGTAAATAGGCTTGCCTTTTCTATTATCTTGCATATTATCCTGTTTTCCGGAGTATTTCTTCTCACTCTGACTAAATCTATCATATGACAGACTCAAGTTCGACATGGGTTCCTCGGGCTCGCCAGAACGTGAGTCGAAGACCCCACACGATTAAATAGTCTTCATTCCAAAGTAAACTTCCCTCGGTTCTCGCTTAATACATTTCGCAAATGCGTTCCAGACAACTTTTCCCCTAAAATTAAATGCCGATTCACATATGCATTTCTGGAATTGTTATTGCTTTGAATCTACCTGAATTAGGCTCATTAGGAGCAGTTAGTTATTGCAGTTTAATTTGCCACAATGACTTTTTATTAGTAATCTTAATTAGTCCGTAATATTATGACTCACTTGATCGCCGGCATTGTCAGTGAGAGGTAACATCGTAAGCACATTGCTACAAAGTGATAAGACTTGTCCCATCTCATATAAGTTAAGAAGGGTAAAGTGAATTTCGAATTTCCAAATTAGCTTGAAGCGACTTGCTTTCAACCAAACATGCTCTATATAGATGAACCACACCACTTATAAATAGTTTCTCACAGGTATGTGGAAAATCAAGAATTTCTAGATTCCTCTATAATACGGTACCTTTCCAGCTTTCTATTATATTGGTCATACTGCCTTCACTGTTTTAATCCAGACCGATGATGATGGCATTACTCGAGCGGACTTTGACAAGGCCCTTGAGCGCGTATTAGTTGGACCTTCACGGCGATCAAACCCATTAGGACCACTAGAGAAACGCATGGCTGCTGTTCAAGAATCAGGCCGAGCCCTGGTTGCCTGGTTAACGCCAGGTGCCCATATTCAGCCAACGAAAGTATCTATTATACCGCGAGTTTCTGAAGCTACCACTTCCCTGGGCTACACGCAGCTAGTTCCTGAGGATCGTCGTTTGTTCACGATTGATGAGCTTGCCGATCGGATGACCGTTCTTCTCGGTGGTAGGGCTGCTGAACAAGTCGTGTTTAACACCGTCTCAGATGGTAAGTCAGTATACAATTAAATATAAGTCGCTTACATCAGACAGTTCATTTTATCTTCTCATAATAGCTAATTAAGTATATATATAAGCCTCAACCTGCCTCAGATTAATAACCAGTAATATATCTCATGCTACTTGTATTGAGCTCTCTTTAATGCCTACGCCTCGGTACCATAATATCAACTGGGAAGAAGTATATATATTAAACATATATAAGTATATTATATATATTTATATTTATATCTCCACTGTACTCATTTCTGAGATGCATGATAAAGTATAATTTATTGAGTACATAAGTTATCCATTTTTAATAGCTAAATTATCATTTCGCGAACAATTGATTAAACTGATAGAGTTCTGCTCCTCAAACTTAGTAATCAAAAGGCTACCAAAAGTTTCCCGAGTACATGTTACAATTGATTGTGCAAACTGTTGAGGCCAGTATACTATAACGGTACCGGAATAAAATCTAATAAATAGACGAAGGTATGAAGACCAAGATGGTGTGGCCTTTTGTATAGTCGCAGTCTCCTTTCGTTGAATTGACGTTGTTTCACCTTTTTTTCGCAACATATTGGTAAAAGACTTAGAGGAAAGCATCTAGTTCGGAGTCCATAGTATGCATGATAATTTCCAGAGTAGGACCATGGACGTGGTACATTCCCAGACGTTTCGCCGGCATCGTAGTCTGCATCGTAATTGGGTATTGCCATTCTTAGCACCACACTATATCTCGTCAAAGAGAGAAGTGATATCGATACCTTGACCAATTGTCTGCCAAATAATTGTGATATCTCTCCTGCCCATGCTTGTTTCTCACCCCCC